AGTACGTACAAATTACAGGTGTAAATATTTCGTCGCAACAATAGGACCCATAAGTGTGCCATCCCCAAACGGGACTACCATTACATGTATAAAAGATAACCCCAAGCGCGTGGTCATATAAAGGTCCCATATGAAAACGACACGTGTCGCTTTAGGCACCATATCGCTGTAAAACTAGGTATAGAGACAAACTTCATAGAATTAAAACTTGTTTAAAAATGACAGATGACACTAAAGAATATTTTATTTTCTCGGCCAATTGTAAGTAACAAATTTTCTCTTATAATATCCCGAATGCATTGATTGTCAAAAACGTCATTAATTACACGTTTTTGACAATCACGAGAAAAAATTTCCGGATTCAATCAATGCAAGAGTGGTATTCGAGTGAAAATTGCATGACATCACGAGCTCAAATAAGTAAGTCTTAGTTTTTGATATTTACAATAAAGTTTTACTAAATATTTGAGGTTAGTTTTTGTGTCAAAAAAATTTCCACTTTTTTAGATAGTCAAAAAAATTCCGGAAAATTTTGAGTTGCTATGGTAATCATATTAAATACTAAATTCATATTGGTAGTAGGGTCATGCAATTTTCAGGAAAAAAGTTGATAAAGATTTCATAAAAAATATAATTTATGCAGTATGTACCCGGATTGAGTTTACAAGAGGAAAAAAAATTATCTTTGATTTTACTGCAAAGAAAAAAAGTTTTTGCTTTACTTGAAACCAGCAAATCTGTAATTAAAACTTCATTATTTTAACTTAGTAGAAAGAAAAGTTCATTTTTCTCTTGATTTTGGACTTTGAATAATTTTTCTCTGTTTTTTAAGTCCTATCACATTGGCAGTTTAATTATTTTGGCAATGATGTCACTTTGACAATTGAGTTTACGCAAGTTAAATAACAAAAATGTTTGTGAAAAACATAATTTTAATAAACAGCAACTCAAAGAAACAGCTTTAAGGTAAAAACCAAAATCATTTTTAACAAGAACTATCGTTATTTAATTAATAAATTAATTGTCAAAATGATATATAGTTGTCAAATAATTAAAACCGCCAATGTGATAAGACTTAAAAAGCAGAGAAAAATCAACTTTTCACTGAATCAGAATAATGATGTTTTAAGTACATGTTTTTCCTTTGCAGTTCTGGCCTAAGATCAAAAAAAGATAAAAAAAAATTTCTTCTTGTTAACTCAATCCGGGGACATACTGTATATGGCATTTTTCTCTGGGGCGCGCGTTCTGGCGAATTCTGTAAGTAATAGCAAATATGCTAAAAAAATCAATTTAATTCTCAAAATCCTGACCTATGGGTCATTTTTATATTTTTATTTTATGAGTGATACTTCAATTTTTTTAATTTCAAAAACAATCATTGGTTTTTACGTATTTTCTATTAAGCTGGAATTCTTTCTTTCTCCTTTAAAAAAATCCCAGAATTTTATAACCTTCTAATATGTCCTGTCACAGGTCTCTATTTTTTTTTTTTTTTGAGAAAAGTCACAGAATTTTTTATTGATATGTTACTGTTTTCTGCATCCTGGTAGACAAAATTTCTATGTTGTTTTAATTGAAAATCTTGACATTTCTAACGGACAGAGAAACTTTATCTCATTTTTCAAAATAATTAACCGTTTTTTTTTCTGTGGCAGTTGAGGCCGCACTTATAAGCGCATAAAATCTTTTAATTCGTTTACTGGCGTGCCAATTAGGCTAATAAAAAAGAAAAGTTCACCCTTGCTTTTAAGTCTAATTAAAACGAATGACAATAAATTAGCCGATTTCTTTATTATCTCGTCTCCAGCACGTCTCAGCACCCGGAGCAATTATGTTTAGTGTTTTGATTGCAATAAACGGTGCCTTCGTAATAGTCCAAGTAGTCGGGTCCAGATTTGAGACGTGTGAGGTCCCACATCGGTCGGGGTCTAGCCCCCGTACAAAAACTGACTTCATAAATCGCTGCATATAGATTGATATAAGAAAGTTTGTGTCTTCATTATGCCGGTGGGTCGCGGCCTTATAGGGCTAAATTGGTCTCGTCTGACAACCGATGACAACATCATCAGCAGACTCCCCATTCGAGACATAGTTTTTAAACCGCATGAAACATTCATCGCGGTCATCGCATTGTGACGTATGCCGGCGGTCATAATTAATCGCTGATAATAAATGCAGTTAGTAGAACATGTGCAGACATGTGCAGGGCGCCGCATTCCGCCGCCGAGGACGCTCCATAGCACATATCTCACTCGACTAATTGGAGAGCGTTTTCACGGTTGACGCGACTGTCAAACAACGACTCTACCGACAGTTTATTTTATCTCGCCCCGAGACCGTTTTAGAAACGATAAAAAATACGCCTCGCAGGAATGACGAGTTTCTCGCCGTCTGATACAATTATTTTAGCCATTTGCCAGAGAACTAAAAATACTTGCATTGAACACAAAACTGCAACGAGGAAGGACATCTGCTCCGATGCAGACTCACATGGAAATAATTAGGCGCGTTTTTTCAACCAGAGGCAACGAGATGCTACAAACAGGGGGCAAATCTCAAACCAAAAAATAATCTATTAAATAATATTGGTATTTTATATGTGAGAAAAGGGAAGAATATGGTATACCTTTTCTGCATTCAAACTCAAAAAATGTCCAAAAAACAAAAAGTAAAGTGCTACAGAAAAAGCCATTATTTTGTTGAAATAATTTGACTCAGGTTGATTTCCGACTTAAAATTAAATAGCACAAATTGCTTCATTTTTATTATAATTATTTTTATAAAATACATTAATTTCGAATAAATTCTGTATTAAAATCGAGAAAAATTGAATTGAAAATAGCTCAAATTGCTTTATTTTGAAGAAAACTCTTATTCAAGAGTTCTTTAAGGATAAAGGAGCACTAGAAAAGTTAGTGATCTTGAGAAAAATAACTTGTGGTTTTCAAAATCCAAAATAAACAAGGCCAAATTTTAAAAAAAGTGCTCAAACTGCTCCAAACGCCGAGTGGTTCGCTGCTCAAACAAAAATTACTTTTAAAATGTTTTAAAAGCAAATAATGACTTATGTTGAAATGATATTTGTTTCTTAATATAAAAAGAAAATAAAGGTATTGCTAATTCAAAATTTTTTTTTGGTGTTGTTAACTGCTCTAAACGTATTTATACGCGGTAACTGCTCAATGCGTTCTTAGAAACCCATGGGGCGGATTCGCATTTTTTTCATAACAAAATGTTCAAAAGTTGTGTACTGCAATAGTAGGGCGGAAAAATGAGTAATGACTTCTTACAAGCAAAATTATTTTATTGCTTATACAATTTTTTAAGTTTGCTTCTTATTGTTACATGAGAAATGTCTTTTTGAATCAACAATACAACACATATTTTTTACTAATCAATAGCTAAGGTAAACTTTTGGTAAAAACGGTGACAAAGTATTATTATGTTTAAGAAATTGATAATTTTGGTTATTAATTTTTGTGAAAACAATTAGGAGTATTTAAAAACCTTATGGGAGCAATAAGGTTTCTGTACTGTTAAAATATTGCACTAAATAAAACAAATTATCTTTACTCTAAATTTTGCAAATACAGCGATGAAAATTTTTCTAAGAATTTGTAAATTTAGCAGTAAACTGCTCAAGACGTATTTATACGCAATAAGATTTAACCGCTCTAAACGTATATATATATTCGCACGAAACAAAATATGAGCGCACACAGCAAAGGATTATAAAACTAATTCAGCAGTTTAAGGGTTAATGCATTCAAACTCAAAAAATGTCCAAAAAAACAAAAAGTAAAGAGCTACAGAAGAAACCTCTTATTCAAGCCATTATTATTTCGTTGAAATACTTTGACTCTGGTTGATTTCTGGCTTAAAATTAAGCCAAAATAGCACAAATTGCTTCATTTCAGCCTAAAATTGGGATTGAAGCAATTATTTTTATAAAATAGATTAATTTCGAATAAATTCTGTATTAAAATCGAGAAAAATTGAATTGAAAATAGCTCAAATTGCTTTATTTTGGAAGAAAACTCTTATTCAAGGGTTCTTTAAGGTTAAAGGAGCACTAGAAAAGTTAAGATCTTGAGAAAAATAACTCGTGGTTTTCAAAATCCAAAATAAACAAGCCCAAATTAAAAAAAAACTATTGTATTTCTTAAATTAAAAAGATCAAGATATGAAGAAACTAAAACTGTAGACAAAAAAAAGTTTGAAATAAAAAAAGCAATAATCGATTATCGTTTCTATCTTCAAAATGTTAAGATAAAAATTATACTAATAGAAATGGGCCTAAAAAATAGATGAAGATGTTGATTTTTCTAATTTTTTTTAAACCAGAATAAGATGTTTGAGTGCAAACCCCTTATGTGGAATTTGAGTGGTAAAAATGTTGTCTGCACTTTATCCGTGATATAATTCAGTGCAATGGAGTGGGTAATTCAAAGGTTTATTGTTTTTCTCCAAACCGGCACTGTACTAAAACTTTTATACGAAATTTAAGTCTGTTTATTAAAGTTTATAATGCAAAAAATGTCAAACAGTTTACAACACTCCAATAAAAATTTATCACCACTTAGTAAAAAGTACCATAAACGCTTGACTTGCCTTGCGTTGTTGTGGATATACCTTTCCTGGCGCCCATCCTGTGGAGATCTTCTGCCATAATAATAAAAGAGTAAAACGGCTCCTAGCTGTCTTTTATTTGACCTCATTAGAGCAAAATTCGTTAGAAGTTGGAAATTATCGGCGTCAAGTGCGCGGTTGAAAAAACTTGACTCGTGTCTGGCATAATAATTTCGGTTTTGTCAAACATTCGTGGACTCTTAATTTCGTGCACGGTTTGATGCATTGCAAGTCGGCTCCAAATCGTTGTCCTCGACTGGTGGTCCAGCCGAGATTTGTACCAGGGACATACCTCTATTGTCAGCGCATTCTAAAGTTGATGCCGGGGACCGCACAAACAGACGGGAATACTAAATAAAACAATCTAATAAATAATGAACGATTTACTTTATTGCAGCGTCAACACACGATCGGGTAAATTGGAAATATAAATACATTGTTTAAACTGCTGATATGTCTGCTGGAAAAAATACTCGTGTGTGGTGATTTTATAGTACAATGAATACAGTATATGTAGTAATTTCCACGTACGGTTTTGAATGTATTATATTAATTGTTCTTAATATTACACATTATAATAACAAATATCTGCTTATGGGTCTATGCTAGGTACATACATAGATACAAGTTTTTATACTGCTGCCGACGGCAGTCGCTTTATTTACAAGAGAACGAACTAAGGCGAATGTCCTGGCGCCGAAACGGTCCACCGCCTCTAGAAACTCGAACCAAAAGAGCAAAAATCCTAAAATTTCAACATCTAAAGACCCTGGACCGTAAACTAAGGAACCGAAAGGTATATATCACATTGACTGTACAGCACACTACGGGAATTTGCGTCCGTTATTGTCCACATTGGTCATGCACACTGCCGAGGTAGATCAGGGCCACAAACCCGCCACAACCGTCGTAGGTCAAGCTTTATTCAGCGCCACCGGCTTCAACGGCGTCTCCGACCCTGACGACAACGACGACGTCGACGACGGAGACAATCTCGAACTTGTAGTCAACCCTAATGGCCCATTACTCGCAATAGACGTCACTGTGGCCAAATTCGCCTTTGTCAGCACCGACTGGCTCACAAGGTTGGCCCCCAGAGTCCTGGAGTAAGTCTCCAGGAGAGAAGCATCAGGCGAACCGCTACTGCCCATCCCGGGGCCGTACAAACTCCGGTAGAAGTCGTGGGGACGGGCGTAGGGGGCGGTGTGGAGCCCTGGAGGTGGCAAACGCCCGGCCAACGACGGAACCAGTCGACTAGCCGCCGTGGAGTACAGCGAAGAGACGGTGGATTGCGGAGGACCGTCGCTCTCTTTGCTTGCCATGTCGGCCAATGACCAAATCCGCGGCTTGGAACTCACCGAGGCAGAGATCTGAGGGGGCGAACCGGAGGAACGCGGCGGTAGGAAGGCAGGGTGAGGAGGGCGTTCGTAGCATTCGGGGCTGTCGGGGCCGCTGTCGGGACGCGATTCGCTCCATTCGCTCGCAGTGTCAGGCGCGAGACGCGAATGGGGCTGCCGGTCGCCGTCCTCGCTAGACGCAGTACCCGAATCTTTAGAATCTAGAAAATCAAACGAGAAATTTTGATCCAATTCCCCGTTTTCGTTTTTTCTTAATACCATACCTAGAATGTCTTTGCCGTCTGTGCTCTTGTGGTCATCATCGTCGTTGTTATTATCCTCGTCTTCGACGCGATTTCTTGGCTCCCACGTCATCTTGTTTTCCTTCTTGAGGCGCCTCCGCGCGTTCGCAAACCACGTCGAGACTTGCGTCAAGGTCATTTTTGTGATAATAGCCAACATTATTTTTTCGCCTTTAGTTGGATACGGGTTCTTTTTGTGTTCGTTAAGCCATGCCTTGAGTGTACTGGTCGTTTCTCTGGTGGCGTTTTTTCGTCGCGCACCATTGAGATCCATCCCATATCTGGAACAAAAATTTAATAGTCTTAAATCGTGGAAATGTTACATGCCCATATAACAATGGCTATTCACACATTACAATACCAACACCTTGTGAATATCAATTTACCTTCATTGTTAATCACGTCGGTTTATTAAGTGTAGGCCATCTATCACGATTCAGGTTTTTTAGGTCTTCAAAACACATTAATATGTATCAGCGATAGCTGAAAAAGTCGCGATTATGACTAGAAGGTACCACTTTTGGATCAAATGGCAATGTGACTAACACTTCTAAGGTGTTGTGACGTAATGTTGGTATCGATAAAAATCTAAATCGTTTGAATGTACCAACATTTTGTATAAAATTGAAAGTGACTGAAGTTCCTCTTCGATCAATTCATCTTGGAAACACGAAATAAATTGACAGTCTAGGAGCACACACACACCTCGTGCATTTGATGGAGGCAACGATTGAAAATTGAAACAAGCTGTCAGTCGATATGAAAAAAGGAACACGACGCATTTGATTATTTTTTTTGCATCAAACAAGAGGCAGACATGTCGTGAAAAGGGGAGGGTTATAGATGGGAAATTAATAAAGCTGTCAGTTATCAGCGAAGCGACGCATCCGTGCGGAACATTTCAATCTGATGAGACTGGGAGAGCGTGATGTTTGCAGACGCAAATGACGTTCGTTCATTTTAAAATGCACAACGAGGGATGGTTTTAAAAATCCAGAGTGGCATGCCAGGTTTCGTCGCTCCCTGATCGCATTATCAGTTTGTTTCCATAGCAATTGCTAATCGGAGTACGCCATGCGGATTGCTTCCGCTCGGAAAAGTGCCAATGAACGCCGCGACGCCGATGCGCGCGACGCAACGCCCGAGAAAAGGGCACTTTTCCACTACCGTTTTGTCAATTGGGACGAGACTCGTATTTTGTTTGGCAATGCAAAATACGAGTCCAGGGCAGGTTTTAAAAGTTGCAAGAGCAACATGGATGAATAAAACAGGTATCTTTCGAGTGTGAAATGCGAATGCCATGTCGGACAACGCATCGATTACCTGTCTGCAGATCCCCGCGGATGTCGCGGTGATATTGTCGGATTGTGACGCCCTTTATTCATACCCGACGTCATATTAACACCTTAGTGAAAGACCTGAACGCCGTCGAGGGAGATTTAGACAAATTTCAACAGACTGGATTAGGTTTACCAAAAAAAAAAAGGAAATAATCAAATTCTATATAAGGTCACGCTATCTGTATTGATCAGCACAATTACTGTTAAAGATTAAATAATTAAATATTTTAAAGAAATCAGATTTTCTAATATTTTAAATGGAGGGCTCGCGGCTTTGCCGTTTGCCCCTTTCTAAACCTCACACTATAAGATTTTATCAAAATTTCTTTCTAAACCTCTCACCATCTGATTTGCAAATATTTTATATAAATATCGAGGACGAAACGGCTTTGTTCAATGGATATGACAACTAGTTTTTTGTTAATCTGTGGCTGTTCTGTAGCAATTTATGTCATAACCTCAAATTACACATTTCTTGGCTAAATTTCTTTTATATGGGACTCTTAAAGTCTTAAACAACACTTCACAAATCACTACTAACTATTTCAATTTGCACCAGTGTGCAAATTAACTGGGTTTTTGGGTTTTTGGCCTACGTTTCAAGCATTATTTCCGTCATCTCACAATGTCAGAATTTACACATTTCTTCGTCAAAATTCCTAATAAAATAAGCGGCTCTTGTGTGTTAAACAACACAAATCACTAGTAACGTATACTTCCCTTTTTCTATCGTTTTCAGTGTCAGATTAAATGATTGAAATCCAACGCACTCCTGGTTAAACTAAAATTTAGGCACTTTCGGGCCTTTTTTTCTCTATAAAACTCTACTACATTGTAGAATTATGATTGAATTTTTGTTTTTTACTTTTACTCAATTTCTACTCTTTGTCGTTTTCTACTTTTAGTGATTCCAAATTTTCCAACAGGAAAAAAACCAATTGCGATTGTGCGACAAAGATGGTTAAATAACGTTTCACATGAGTGTGAGAGCGTTCAAGCTATCAGGTATTTTTGATCAAGTCCTTTTGCGTAAAGCCGGTTTGTAGTAGCGGTAGCGCCAATTCCCTGTTCTACATAAAATCAAGAAGTAAGCAGTTACGGAATCCATTAAACGATTAAAGCAAGTCCGTTTATCTGCAATTTATGTTTGCACTAGCGGTAATCCCTGAGTTGCACGGCGTCGTCTAACTGGAATCAATCACGTATGCAATAACACTAAATCTGCATGCCGGTCGTGGGCCATGACTCACTCCTAATAGACATTCTACATGCAGCCGCAATGAGCCTGTAAGGAGAAGAAGAATCGGCTTGTCGTTACTGTAGTGTGACAATGCCGTGTAATTGGTAAGTCTTCCGTCCACGTGCGAGGGCACGGACCTCGCGTCCATCACCAAATCCACTGACCACCAGGAAGTGACAAATGCCGCTTCCGAAACGACATATAGAATAGCAATGATGAAGGGCTTATTGCGCTCACTTCAAGCACGGCATTTTAATCCTTACAGTAGACTGCGCTCAGAAAATTTTTACATTCTTGCGTTGCGTTAATCCCTATGTGAACTGCGCTCAGTTCGGTCAGTGTAATGTAAAGAATTAAATTATTAAAAATTAAATTCCCAGACTGATGAAAATAGGGTGGCAAAAATGTACTTTGCCTTTTGAAATAAACAAAAACGAAATAGGTTATTATTTACATTTACGAAACACAACTATGTATAGCTGTACAGGGTGCTGCATTTTGGATGTCCGAATAGGGAATCTCCGAAACTAAGATGTTTAGCCAAAAATGAGTGATACATTCTGGAGCCCATTTTTTGAGAAAATAATATTGGTTAAAACCGCATCCCGCTATCGTCTTTTGTTTTCGACTTACAGACAAAGGTTGACATTTTGGCGAAATCTAAAAAAAATTATATCGTCGTTATTATTTATAGAAGATACAGATTTGAAATAAAGACATTAATAGGCACTTTTTTACGAGGAATTTAATAATGTAGTTAACAATTTTTTTCACTTGTTTGTTTAGCCATAATAAGATAAACTTGTATTTTTTTAAATGGAAATCTTAGGCGGCTATGGCATTTTTGAAAAGCTTATTTTTTTCTGATCTAAAAAATATACATTTGTAACAGAATATTTTTCTATAATTATACTTAAAAAATTAAATACATATTTTGTTTGATAATAGTTGGCCATGGAAAAACTATTTCACTCCAAATGTGTAAATAATAATCAATAAGAGTTTTGTGAACTGTAAAATAGATGAAAAAATATATAAAATTATAAAGATTTAAAAAATACGATACGGTAGAAGCATTGAACAAATATCCGAGCGCCTCAGAACAAAATTATTACATATTTTTAAAAAATCCAAAAATAGAAAAAACAAATGTGTCAACAGTCAACACAATTAGAAAAAACATTTTTTTGATGATCTAATGGAGGTAGGATAACGTTTCACATAGACGGAATTTGGGTATTTGAATAGCCATATCGTCATTTTTGTGTCATATAAAATATATTTTATTGAAGAATTAAAGCGTTTTTTTTTACAACACTCTTTGTATCACTAGAAGTTGCAATGGTAATGTTAGCTTGTTTAAAAACAAAGAAATGTTATTAGTCGCCAATAAGTTGATTTACAATTTATTTTGCATTTTTTTCATTACTTAGTACTTAGAAAACTCTTTCATTAGTGACACTGATTGAATATAATATAGTTTAAATCCTTTTGGTTGAAGATGCAACATTTTTTGCTAAAAATGTATTATAATAATTTGTTACAAATATATATTTTTTAGATAAGAAAAAAAACAAGCTTTTTAAAGATGTCAGCCATCTACGATTCCCATTTAAAAAAATACAAGTTTATTTTATTACGTAAAAAAGTGCCTGTATAATGTCATTATTTCAAATCTGTGTCTTCTATAATAACGAAGATATGAATTTTTTTAGTTTACGCTAAAATGTCAATTTTTGTCTATAAGTCGAAAACAAAAGACGATAGCGGGATACGGTTTTAACCAACATTATTTCCTCAAAAAATGAGCCCCAGAATGTATTACTCGTTTTTGGCTAAACCTCTTAGTTTCGGAGATTCCCTATTCGGACATCCAAAATGCAACACCCTGTACATTACCTAAAATGTTTTAAAAAATTTGGTCAAACTTATAAGATAGACATTTTGCAGAAGTCGATCGATCTATTTGCTTCTTTCTCATTATTTTTTTTTATTAAAACATACCTTTTACTAGAGGGTATTTCAGAACTCGCATTCTAGAGATCAAGTGCTGGCGGAAATATGTCATCAAAAAGTGCACCCGAAGAAGTGCTCTCTGAAAGTTCAAAGCACCAACCTATGGGTGGGTACACTGAGCGCAGTTCACCTTAAGGATTAGCCTCATTATAGCTGTTTCTAAAACTGAGCGCAATTCGCTCTCCCTCTTTTGGGCGAGCAAGCGATGACCCCAAGGCCGTCGTGGCTCTCCCACGAGCAATGACAATCGGCAACGACACCACGTTATGTATAAGGTAACATTAAGCTCTTTGGCGATGGTCGCGATAAGACCGATCCGCGCACCGATAAGCCAGTTTGCTGTTAACGAGGCCCGTGGATCGCCGCCAGGTGCAATCCGAGTAGTCTGACCCATCTGCCATGCAGTCCGGACTGGATAACATTTACATACATCCGCCCCGCGTGACGGATTATCCACTGTGTTGGAAAAATCCCGATAGAAAATACCCAAAAATGTAATTAAATATCGATGCATCAACGCTAATTTACATGGGGCGACACCAACGGAAATATAATTACGATGACGAGGGACGAGAGAGAACGCTGCTAATGATGCGAGCCTAATTGTGTGAGGTTTCTTCTAGTTTACATAAATTTAAACATGATTAGGCGTCGAGACCAAATTTAATGCAAGAGTTAACATGACATGTGGTTGCTACTTTCAAGTTCGATTTATGGACACAAGTTATGTAAGAATGGACTTTCTGCAGGTGACACTGACAAAAAAACAATGACATTTCATATGGGACGTGGTTCCGGTCTTGGGAACTTATCGTACTGTCGTTATTAATTTGGCGCTCATTCAAGGCATACGCTTATTGGTACCACTTTTGAATAATTGTTTGACCTTACATAAATTTTGAATTAATCTTAACATATTCGGTGCGTTTTCGATTCGATTGATTTAGATAAAAATATCTATAAACAGTGGCAAAAACAGAAACAAAGACACACGAAAGGGAAAAAAATCGGTACTAACAGTTCTTAAAAAAATTTCTCAAAAAATGGAAAAGCAAAAGTCATAATAAAATTCTGAACGCATTTTTTATTGCAGGCTTGTGTAACATGTACTAATTTTCTCAAAAAATTGATGAAAATAGAAAATAATTATGAGTCAGAAAAAAGGCAATTAAATAAAAACCTCCTGTTGCCCTTGTTTTGAAAAAGTACTAATTTTGAAAAAACATCAATTTCAAACTTATGTATCAAATAAATTACACTAAATATATTTCCAATTTTCATGCTTGCATATCCAACATAAATAACTTTTTCTGTATACACGCCTTTTTTATTAAAATATTATAAAGTACCATAAAAGTTTCAACAATAAATAATAAATAAAGTACACTACTCCAAAACATGAAAGGAACAAAAAATTTTCCTAAATTTTTTGGTGATTTTTGAAAGGCAAAAACATTTTAAACTTTTCTAGTTTTGAGATCTTTTGGCAAATATTTTTATGTGCTACGGTTATCATGCAATTCTAATAGCGTGAGAAAAAAAATGTTTTTGTTTTTGGTCCACGGACGTGGGGAATTTTTTTTAGTCAAGTCAATGCATAGGCTCAAAAATATTACTTTCCCTATCAATATTAGAGAATACGGGGTAGATTTACTAAAACAACGTAAAAAGTTACTTTTTTCTCTTTTTTTTTAAATTAATGTTAAAGGTGAAAAAAAAAATTTTACAAAAAATCATAATATAATCATAATATAAAAGGATCTTATAAGACATTTATTCCAGTTTTTGACACTACTCTTATATTCTTTGTGTAGTCATTGGTTGCTCAGATATCGATAATCAAAGACAGGATCCTTTTTCATTTAAAGTCAGATAACTCAGCGACAAATATGAAGAAAGCATAGAAAAGGTAAAAAAACATGCTATCCGGTCTATGAATTGACTTAACTAAAAAAAATCTCCGCGTCCGTGGACCAAAAACAAAAACCATAAAAATTTAGAATTTGTTTTCTTGCGCTATTACTTAGAATTGCGTGATAACCGGAGCACAGAAAAAATATTTGCCGAAAGATCTCAAAACTAGAAACTTAAAGCTTCAAAATGTTTTTTTTTTAATCTAGATACGACCATTTTTCAATGAGTCAGCCTTTCAAAAATCATCAAAAAATTGGCAAAATTTTTTGTTCCTTTAATTTTTCGGAGTAGTATATCTTTCAGTTTTTATTTTCTGCAAAAAATAGATATTTCATAAAAAAGTTAACAAAAACCAAAACACTTCAACACAGAAACATATTTTTTGGTTAATTTCTGGCGCAACAAGAAAAACAACAAAATTTGTGGCCATGTTACCATTTTTCTCACTCAAATTTTGAGTTGAGTTTTGAGTTTTTAGACTTATTCCTAAACAATAAAGTAAGCACTAGAAAATTACTGTTTGTCTACGAAACAACTAGCTGCTTATTAAGGCCTATCGTAACTCGTCACCATAATTGCTTTCGTTGATGAGACATTGTTGCAATTACGACGGACATATAAGCTGTAATTACCTATTTGTTGTGACGTTATTATAACTATTTATAAGCAGCAATCGCGTGGTTGTAAAGTTGCCTTTTGAAACTAATTCAATAGTGATTTTATGGCACCAATAAAAATTGCTTCTGGTATCGTCTTGACTCTTTAAAAAATAGGAACATAAAATTGTTTATTTATGATGTCGTGACGAGTCTTGATCTGGCAGTAAATAAATGCACAGCATTTCATAGTTATAAAATTACAATCATGTGAAGTAACTGCCACTTGATCACCAATTTTTTTTTCGCCAACATTGTGTTACTCTATGGTTAAATTAGCGGGCGTTGGATTTGCGCCAAAACTGGAGTAACAAATGTAGTGATTGATTGCCTCAACATCAAAGAACTTGTTCTTGGTCTTCTATATTTGCAACTCGAGATAATAGTCAAATAAATTGTTGGACAATCATGAATACAAACCGGATTTTTTGCTTTGATCTGTCAACGGTTTCAGCACTCGATGATTTTTGCGAAGGTTGAAAATTGCATGAAAAAAGCTCAAAGAGGGAGACATTTCCATAAATTTCAGCAAATGTTTTGCGGCACGCATTGTAAACCGTCGAAACTTCAGTATTAGCAGACTATAAACAGCGTCGATGATAACCCTTCTAGTGACCCAAACCCGATCATAGTTGAAATAAATTTCAATTAGTAATGAAAAGGAAACATTTCCAAGTCGAGAACACACATTGTGCAATTCAAAACATGTAGATTGAGACGATCATAACACACATAAATCGCGTTGTGTGGCGGATTCTTAGAAGCTCGTCAATTAATTAAGGAATTTGTTGGTTTTATCTAATCGTTATTGCTAAGATAGTGGATTCAATTAGCAAAAAAAATAAACAAATTGCTTCTCTACTTGGAAACAAACAACAGAAGCACTCTCCGGCATAAATCCAATAAATTTCAACGGCGGCGGTTAACGACCTTAAGCCAGGATATTTTTCAGTTGCATTAAATGGGTTTAAAAGTGGAGGTTGCATTTCAATTAAAAGAATCTAATCTGATATGTTTTATTCAATAGTTTGAGTGAGTGAGTGCTTTAGGGATTAGCGGAGGCGATAGCTGGGGTGTCCCACTCGTTATCACTCTAAATAATAAATGACATACGTCAGGGTGTTAGCCACGACCGGAGGATTCGTGGCCAACCCAAGACATTAACGCGCCGTTACTCACAGCGAAAAACCATCGATTTGGCATGAATCATTCCGGGACACGTGGACCCCATAAAACACATCCTCCAAAAGGAGAAAAAATTGCAAAAATATAAAAAATCTTTTGCAGAAAAAACAATTCCATTATGCCGAGATAACTCACCCATTAAATGGATATCCTGCAAAGGCGGTATCGTAGGGATGATAAACGGAAGGGTAGGGCCATGTCGCAGCCCCCGCTGCCAAGTTTTCTTTCAATTCTAAACCAGCAGCCTGAAAAAAATATAAAAGAACCATTGTTATGATGCGATAAGAGTGTTTTATATTATGTCAGTACTTGAAAATAAATTTATTATCAATTATTAAAGTGCTAATAAGTCATTATTTATAAAGCTGTCAACAATTATTTCAATGAAATGTGGCATTTTTATCGTTGTTTGGTCACTGCTTGTCTTGCCCTTTGAACTACATCACTAATTATATTATCGGAGAAAACAACGATTTTTTTCAAACCAATCTGATTCGAATCGATGAAAGTTATTAATAAATAATTTATCAATATTGTTGGGATTGCTAATTAAGTACCCCTTTCCGGGAATTGAATTTGTAAGTAATTGACTTAATGAATGAACGCAACTAGAAAACTTGTTTTGCTTTTAGCATTAAGTAGACTTATACATAAATGTGTAAAAGTAAATCGTTTGCAATAAAATTGCTAAAGGATGGTTATTTACACGAAGCGACTTAATTGCTTGAATTAAAGTTAATTTTTAAACAAATTTGTTTAATTTTGACATAAAAAGCAATGAGCGGAACTGGTAAGCAAGTCATCGCAGAATATGCAATTGATATTTCCATTCATATCTTAATGTGTTTCGCTAATTACGAAATTAAATTTCATATTTACTGGAATCGAATCTGCTTAATTCTTTGTTCTCATTTAACTCGTTGATAATTAAGAAATTGTGAAATGCGTTTTAATTTTTGTTAAAATTTTAATGAATTTTGTAAAACCACAAGATAATAGATCTGTCCGTAATATTATAGTTGAAACATTCAATCGACGAAATGCCTTTGCGTGTTTTCAACGGTACAACACTGTGGAATAGTGTCAATTTGCGTGTTACGTCAAAGTTAAGTCGCTAAATATTTATTTATCGAATGTTCTGCATATTTGATAATGTGTAAAAACTGCAAAAATTTGCTCTGCGTTATAATCCATGTTTCAAATGCCACTTGTAATTTATTCCGAGTTCGTGCTAGGCTTTTTTTAATCAATACCACCTGCCATGTGGCGAAATTTCAAGAAATAATTTAACTCAAATTTTCTGAACTAAAAATTCAAATTTTCTCACCAAAATCGGTTTTGTGGGTCTATTTGTAAACTATAACTTTTACAAATACAAACTGAGAAAAAAGTATAGTACTAAATGTGATATTTTTTTGACATCAAGTTTTTGGAAAATTCTTTTTATTTTAGAGTTTTGCAAAATTTATTGTTATAGTATATGTAGTATAATTTATGCTAAAAAACTTTTAATGGTAAACAAATATTTATATGATATTTTCATTCAAGAATAATCACACTTTTTGCTCACGCTGCATAATAATCATTACCCAAATCAATAAATAGAAAGGTTGAAAAAAGAAATAACTAAAAAAAGGTTAATTCAATGTTCCCTGTCTCTTCTTTTTACAGGTTCTTAAATATCGGTATGCAAAGTAAAAAAAAACTTGTGTATAGGAAAGTAAAATAACAAGAACAGTTGACGAATTCTCCAATTTAATAATATTTTACAGAACTATTTTTCAGGTTTTCTGAACAAACTTTTTTTACAAGTTTTTATTGGAGTTGTAGTTCTATATTTTCATGTGAATCTATCTGTATAAATGTTGAAAATTAAACTAAATTTCTATTTTTTTCTTGGATTTACACTTTCTCTGGAGTTTGGTTTTCGCGTTGTTTCCTCATCCTGTCTCTTGCACTCGATAATTATTTGTTTCTAATTAATCCTTTTTAAATCCGCTTATCTGTTGGAGCTCTCATCTAATTAATTTGTTGCGTGCCTAAGAAATCCCAATTAGCATCCATCTTCAACAACCGTTAATTATAAGTCAATAGCAGTACCTGTGTATAATTTTAAGTAAACAGAACGGTTTTATTCGTTTCATAATAAAAGAATAGAGCTTCCCGCGAGATATTCGTTCTGAATTAGTGACATAAAAGTGTAATTAAAGGATTCTCTTAAATGAATCTTGAGTCAGTGTGTGAGAACGGACAAAACGGAATAATTTAGTTAACATGACAGTTAAAATTTAATTATGTGTCCAAGCTCGCTCTATGAATATGAATGTGTTCATTGTAAATCTTGGCCCAAGGGATTAACCGCGAGAGGAGTCTTGTATATAAACACGCCTGAAGATTATACAAAATGAAATGTGTTTTGTCATAAATCAGGATTGGGACGTGTCTATATAACTTCATTACGGATTATTATATTAATCACGAGATGCTTGTGGTTTAACAATGGCCCTGACAGCTCTCCTCTTTATAGCCGTACGATGTGTTATGTGTTTAGCCTTTAAATTATTTTAAATGTTGTTCGTTACCTTGCTTTGACTGCTGTTAATCACACAGAATGTCTTGTTTGTGGTTGTATCAATAGAAAAAAATACTTGTCAACATTTTTGCTTGAAAAGGTAACGTTTCTACCACTGACACGTTTCGATAATTATTTCAGATGGAGGATAATGAGTTGGCAAAGTGGATATCAGGACATGTCTGCCACTAATCACCAACTCTAGTAAGGCTGCTGTTCGCCAATCAAACTTTCAAGAGAGAACACATGTTAACATGCTATTTGGATTGTCTTTAAACCCACTCTCTGGTATATTAATACTGTTTCATTTAGAACTTGTGTTGTGGTCAACCCGTTTTCGCTAGACATCACATCTAATAACAAACTACGATCCTAGATCCTGGAGGCAAAAGCTGATTTGTTTTTTAATTTTTTCCATGGTACAATTTTATAAATCAGTAACTTTTCAGTACATTGCTCACCGTTTTTGTAATCTTTTCTTGATAACAGATATTTTTTAGGTAGTGTTTTTTTAAAATGGTAAACTATTTTAAAAAATATAAGTTGGAAAGCGGTTTCAGAAATACAGGTGTGCCAGAACTCACACCCCAGAGAAAATTTTCAAGTAAGGTAAGATACCAAGAAAATGAAAAAAATGTCAAAAAATTTTGAGTTTGAGTTTTAGTTTTTGACATTTGACATTTTTTTATATCTATTTAATGATACTGATGATCTTGTATATTTTTTTTACAATTATTTTGTAAAGGGTCAAAAAATTTTCCAATAAAAGCCACAAATAACATTGAACAGAGTTACAATTTAGGATACAGCTTCCATGTTTCCTCTTTTAATAGCCTATAGCAAAAAAACTTTGAAAATTATTTTTCCAGCAGAAATAAATAGAGTCAAAGTGCAAACTTTAAACCCTCATAACTTCGAAATTTTTATAGATAAATTTTTTTTAACATTTTTTTCCATGTTCCTGGAATCTTACCTTATATGACATTTTTCTCTGGGGCGCGAGTTCTGGCGCACCCTGTATAAAGACTCGAAAACTACGTAAATTTTATTTATAATTTGAAAAAAAGTTGATAAACACACTTTGAAGAACTCTTTTTATTCTCATTACACATTGAAACTTTTCTTTTTTTTAATAAAATTTAAAGTTTGGAGTTTGCAAAGTTAAAAAAAATGGGAGAACAACAGTTATTATTGACTTCCATAATTTTTATGGGATTTATTTATTTATTTTTATTACAAAAACATTTTTGAATTTGTCAAAATATTTTTTTTTAACTTTTTCAAATTTTGAATGTGTTTTGATTGGAGAAAAAATGGTAAAAATTGTGATTTATGCACCATTCTGTACAGGAGTTTAAAATAATGTGCTGAAAGAGTACATAGATTCAATAAAAAAATTTCACTTAAAAAAATTGGGACAAATTTCAATTTTCGGAAAAAACAGTTATTGCTTTTGAAAATTTCTAAATTATTATGAGATTTTTCCTTTCTTCCTTAATGTTATTTTGACTTTCTTTAAAATGCAATCTCAAAAAAAACATTTTTTGTATTTTAAACGAGAGTAAAATAAGAATAAAGAAAATTTGCTGCCTTAAACTGCTGTCTATAAACACCATAGTGTTAATTACTGTTAAAAGTTAAGTTACTATTGAGTTATAGAAAACGAAAATTTTATAATGTTTTCAAATTTTTATCTTGAACCTCTAAACATAGTACACAATTCATTCCAAATTTGGGTTACAATAGTAGTTACCTAAAACTAACAGAAAATTTCATTTTCTCACTAGATTTTGAACAGGGAAAAAATTGGGTTAGTTACTGAAAACTCGCTTTGAATTACATTTTGTCCACATTACCAATGATAAATCATGATTCATTTAAAGTGCTGTGACATTGTGCTTATGTATTATTTATCTAATTACCAACTTTGAATAACACCAAACTATTTAATCAATTTTGTTACTGTTTATTTTACAACCGTTGACTGTCCGATTAATTTACAACCTAAAAGTCACGTCAACTTATTCAAACATTAAAAATTTTTTTACACAACATTTATCTCAGTGTAACAACACGCCACATAAAAATAACTCAATGACAGAGTTTGTAATAAGATTTAGAAGTCCAACAAATAGGTTAATCGCGGTATTAACTAGCGAACAAATTAATCTTAGTAACACTACGTCGCACTGTAACGCTGCATTATTCAAAAATAAATAATAAATCACAATTATGTGTTTCAAAACTACGTAAATTAAATTGGAAATGAAGCGAATATTGCAAAATTACCATTTCGTGTCCTTATTATTAATAACACTAATTTAAATGTGGTATTCTTGTTCGCAGATATGATTTACATTGAATCGCCGAAAATTATGTTAATTATTAATTACCATACAAAAGTAGGAATCATAAGACAACAGTTATTAAGTTGTCCACTTTTGACCCAATTCCAAACTTTCCATCACGGTGATAGAAATATAGAAATATTTTAAAACATCCATTAGTGGCACATTTACGACAAGTGGTAATAAATTTAATCGAGTGAATTAAGTTTAGTGGCGACATTTTTCCATAAATTTGTGGCAGCTGTCTGACTTACCGTTGAAGTGTAGAAGGGGGCCTGATCGGCCCCCAATGCGGGGAAATACGCCGCCATTCCTTCGGGATAGGGCGCGCTGTACATGGAGAGGGCCGGAAGTCCGGGTACTCCCCCGGCTAATCTTTGATATCCTAAAAGTTCATACTGACACGAGCACACACTTTGGCCGGTTAGCGGATCAGTGAATAAAGGTCTGCCGGTATCACAGCATCTTTGAGACGGAGCGGGCGGACTTCCCGGTGTTGGGGCCGAAGAGGTTACTGCCATGCTTGAAGGAGGAGGTGAAGGCTGACTAGGTCCCGACGATACTGCACTCTGCAACAATATTCTCAACTCAGAATTTTTATCCAAAGCGGAAATCTAACAGATATGACTAGAATTGTAGCACGCATTGAGATTCCACGAAAATAAATACAGGGTGTTTCACATAATTTTACGAGGCCTGCGTCTGTAAGATGCAATCAATAATACATATTCCGATACGAACTCGATTACAAATTTTGAAAAATTGGATGATCTTCTCTAGTTTGTTCACCCTTTCAAATATTACAACGTTTTTAGTTAGTTAGTAATTAAGATAGATAAACTACAATCATATTCATGTCGTCTCTTGAAAGAACAAATGATAATTGTTTCTAAAAAACTGCAGTTTATGACTATTAATGAAACAGTGATTAGTTTGACAACTACTGTCATGGGTTTCCAAAAATTAAATAATTAAATGTGTATTTTTTGTATCCAGTGTTCTGTGACTTTTGTATATTTGGGTGCGTACACCCTGTACATGAAACTCAAAATCGATCAGTACTGAGAACAAGGGCGGATCCAAGAATTAATTTTAGGGGAGGGCTATCTAAAAATTTTTAGAATGATGAGGGTATACAGTGGGCGCCAAAATTATTGAATAATCTTATTTATTAAAACTGAGAAAATTTTGTTTTGGAAAAATGCTCGAAGAGGTCAGTTTTCTTTTTAAAAAATACAAAATTTTTAACTTGATTTAAAACTGTATCTTTCTTTTTTATTGATATTATTTCAATTATTGGATAATTTTTTTTTGAAAAACTCTATGTAATACATAATATTTTGGTGTTGCCATTTCGACAATTAAAAAATCTATCGAATTCGCGAAAAAAATTAGGGGTTTTTATTAAAAAAAAATGTCGCTGCCGTCATTACCCAAAAACCAAAAAGTGTAGAATTTTAAACAAGTTGAAAATTGTGTATAAGGTGTTCTAGCGAGTTCATTAGATACCTAAGATGTGGTCCAAAGAAAATTGCAATTGATGATTTCTTTTTAAATTGGTAAAAACTAAGTAAGTATCGAGAGATCAAGATAATTTGTCCTTGTATTCGAAAACGTATGTCGGTGAAACATCAAATAAAATGACAAGTGGAAAGGTAATATCCCCTGATCAAAAAGATAACTAAATTTATGATCTACCTTTAAAAAAGAATGGTCTTATTATTATACGTCGGCGACTAATTCCAGCCCATTTTGCCGTTTTCGACTTGTCATTTTATTTGACGTTTCACGTGCAGTTAGTTCAAAAACAGACATATGTACAGTTGCGGAATTAAAAATTCGGGCAGTACCTATTTTTCTGTCACTTTAAAAAATTCACTGTAATCTACCTTTTACTGTCATCATGACTGACATTTGACAATTAAACTTATTTTTATTTGTTGTTAAATTTGTTAATTAAACAATTTGTCTGTCTTAGGAAATTTATTAATTGAACTAAGTGTAATTAAATCATCGCTTTGATCTGCTGGCCACCCGTTATTGCCACAAGTCACTATTTTTGAAAGTAAATAAGCCAAAATGACATAAATATGACAAGAGTAAAAAATGAAGTTATTAATATAATGGTTGTTTTAGAGTTTACATTATGAAAATGACAGTACTGCCCAAAATTTTAATTCCGCAACTGTACGTTTTCGGATCCAAAAATGACTCGATTACAAATTATATATATTATATATAATATATGTATGATTTGTATTAATAAGTGTCATTTAAAAAAATTCTAATGTTTTTATTTAAAAAAAAACTTTAGATCATAAGGTTTTCATTATAAAATTTAAAAATAAAAAATTGAAGCTTTTGGTGGCAAGTTTGGGGAAGGCCCTGGCCCCCTGGGCCCCTCCCCTGGATCCGCCCTTGACTGAGAAACCATTATGTGTTTCAAATTGTGTATTCAGCATTTGGAAATAAAGAACAAAATTCTTGAATGTAGCTTAAAAATTCATAGTAACCTCGGAACGTTTGAATTCCAGTTGTAAGAAACAGTGGCGTAGCCTTAAACACATTTTTTTTAAAGAAATTTCACATTTTCATTTTTAAAAAGTATTTTTAGAGCATTCTTAATTGCAATCATATTTAATGTTTGAAAAAGTAAAGTAACTGAGAACTTGATTCGGATTTGTTTAGTCCTGAATTATACAGAATGAGCCTTTTCTTTCTACTGAGTTAGAATAACAAAGTTATAATTACAGATTTGCTGATTTCAAGTAAAGCAAAAACTTTTTTTCCTTTGCAGTTTTGGCGTAAAATCAAAGATCAAAATTTTTTCCTCTTACTTTATATCTTACTTTATATGGTATTTTTTAGGGCGCGAGTTCTGGCACACCCTGTATTTTATTTCACCTTTTCTAAATCGATAATGGCAAACTAAAATTTCATTGCCACCTTTACACAAAAGTAAATTTTTGGCAAAAGTTTGGAATGTTTGGACGCATCAAGACGCTAGCCAGCATCTTGAGGTCATATCAGGAGAATCGGAGGGTTGTTTAATCATACGACTGTAAAGGGGCGCAAAAAATGGTAAACGTGAAATTGTGTAATATTCGAATTATTTCCGGAACAAAAACTTTTTACAAGAAAACTTTTACGAAATAGTTTTTTTTTGAGGGAATTATTACAATAACGAATCAGTCTTAGCCAAGATCCCGTACGAGTTAATTCAATTGTAATAATTGTCCGAATAAATTACTTATTTTGTGATTCAGTGCGAAATTGTGTAGAAATCGGGGCTGTATTATCAGTGCGTGCGTGTTGGGTATTTTCAAGTGCCTAATAGACATTTAGTAGTGCGCAATTTTTAAAATTACCAATGGGGAAAATAGAGGAAGCAATCGTGCTACAAGGATCTGGATTAAAGGGTAAGTTAACAATACCTTTTATTTTTTTTTAGAAAAATAACATTTAATTTTATTTAATATTTTCAACTGATTTTGTGTTTCTTTATTTTCAGTAGGTCCGTTTAAGAAGCAGAGTAGCAGAAAAAGATGCCATATAAGGTAGTGCATATTATGAATATAAATTAATTGTCTTTTAATAAAATTTTTAACTTAAAACACGTCAACTGTATGTACTTTGTTTAATAAACGAATCAAAAACATTAAAAAATATTAAACTAAACCGGGTGCTGAAAACAGCCCAATATCTCTATAACAAATTTCATCGTAGAGCACTTTAGCTGATCACATTGTAAATTTTTAAATCTAAAAAACATAAGTCAATAGTTTTTGAAATTAAAAGTTGATAATTTTACATAACATGAGTACTTTCGGAACACTTGAAAAATCAAAGAGCAACGCCTGAAACCTTTCAAACATCTTATTATTTGAAAAACTAGTTTGAAAAAATTAGGGAATCAAAAAAAATATTTTTTTTCAAAATTTGTCATTTGATCGAAATGTTGGGATTTTCCAATTTTTTTTTTCAAAATTTTGGTTTGTTTCAAGTAACCGGAGCACGACTCCGGGCAGTAGCCCCTTTACAGTTTCTTAAAAATGTATTGGAGTGAGTTGTGTTGTCGCACAACGAGGTTTATAAATATATGATTTGTTTAAATCTAAAATGCAGATTTAAAAATGAACTAAAAACCACTAATTAAACACTGTAGTTAATTTATTATGTTTCATCAACGCAATATATTTAAATATTTTTTGCCAATAAAATCTCCTAGTTATGCACATAAAATCGCTTGTTTATGTACCGAAACAAATTATTCTTCCACCAAGTTTATTTAATTACAAGCTAATGTACGAGCCTTGCTACTGTATGGATTGCTAATTAACATAATTACAAGTTTTACAAAAACGATACTAATATCACCACTCAACAAACTCGCTGTTTATTTTCACATTCCTTTTGAGGCAAAATTTCCGATCAAATTTTTTGCAGTTTGTTTAGTTTTTACCGCCGTGGGAACGACTTGAAAATTTCATCAATAAATTAATAAATGCATTATGGGCGGAGGGTAGCGCGAGAGCGAGAGGGGCATGCAAAGTACGCCAAGCCCAAAAAGCAGATTTATTTTTAATAATGGCGAACGAATACGAGATCGCATGAGTGCACATCCCCGGGGTAAATAAATAATGCGGTTATTACAGCTCACTGAGTATCACACAGTACCGAGTTGAGGCGCAACCGACACGCCATTTTGACTCTTGTAACGTTTAGTCATAAAGGCGCAAATCATAAAGCAAACACCGAATAACACGTTAGTGTAATTTGAGATAATTTAACGTCTACTCTCATCCAGTTGGGTAAGATGCTTTAGGGTAGATAGGATGACGCTTTAACGATAGGTGAAAGGGAGAGTTGAGGGGAGATTTTGCACAATCGACAAAGCCCGCCTTCGAATAATAGGACACAACGATATTTCAAATGGAACTGTTTTGGGAGTTATTAGGACCTCTTCAGCACGACAGCTGCTGAATTAAAAACATTACCTTTTAGTACAAACTTTTCAAAAACAACTAAAAACACAAAAAAACGGTCATAAATAAATCAGTTTGGTTTTTGCTAGTGAAAGATTTAGAATTATTTTTTCAAAAATTGGTATTGATTTAAGTGTTAAGAGACAATTTCTCACTTGTTTGGCTTACTTTTCAACTTTTTTCGAAAACATTTATCGAAAAATAGTTACCTTTTGTGAGAAACAATAGTACAAAATGGTAAAATAAATAACCAGTTTTTGTTTGAATTAGTGTCATTTATGGATGTTTCTAAGACAGCTTATACAGGGTGCGCCAGAACTCGGGCCCCAGAGAAAATTTTCAAATAAGGTAAGATACCAGGAACAAATATTTAAAAAATTCAAAAATTTTGACATTTATTTTTTGACATTTGACATTTTTTTATATCTATTTAATGATACTGATGATATATTTTTTTTTACAATTTTTTAGTAAAGCGACAAAAATTTTGCCAATAAAAGCCACAAATAACATTGTACAGAGTTACAATTTAGGATACAGCTTCCTTGTTTCCTTTTTTAATAGCCTATAGCAAAAAAACTTGGAAAATTATTTTTCCAACAGAAATAAATAGAGTCAAAGTGCAAACTTTAAACCCTCATAACTTCGAAATTTTTATAGATACAATTTTTTTTAACATTTTTTCCATCTTATATGGTATTTTTCTCTGGGGCGCGAGTTCTGGCGCATCCTATGTAACTTTGATTTTAATTTTCTTATTCTGCAAAGAAGTTTTACTTTTGTCTTGACTTTTATTGAGAAACAAAGAAAGATTTTCATTTATCACAATCATCCTTCTACCTGGATATTCTTCCCCCTCTGTCTTCAAAACCCCAAAAAAATCAGACATTTTTAGAAGTATCTAATTTGTTTTCAAGTAAAAAACGAATACATTTTAATTAATGAGAAACTTTGTTCTGGTTTCATAAGTAATTCGTTCTATATTTTAATCAGTAACAAATTAAAATTAGATTCAACAAATTTTTGCGATTCTCATCCTGCTCTTCCATTGGTACGATGTAAAAATCTAAATTTTCTTCATTGTAAACAAATTTATCACTCTCTTCCCAACAAAAAGCATCAAGCAACAAAAAAAATCAAGATGTTTAAAGAAAATTTTAACGATTGAATACTATTTATAGTGTTTTTTGAGACACTTTCTCGAGTTAATCATCAGTCGAATTCCTTTCTAAATTATCAACCCACATAATCGCGTGAGAGTCGAAAAGTACTCCTCCAGTGTCATAATTCACGAAACACGTATAAATTTAGTTATGGTAACGCGTTTCAAACTACAGATCAAACGGTAGCAATGATTTATCGCTGAATTATACACTAGGCCATGATCGAAAAAATGCTCTTATGGGCATGATTTAGGATCAGTGACATTTATTCGATTTTATTTTGTAAAATTTAATTCTTTGTCCAACATTTCACACTTTTATATAAAATTCATGCGTGTGTTTATTTGTATAAAATATTTGAATTATATTAGATTACACTGTTTTATCCTTATTAACATTATTTATAGCTTCCTCTGGCTAAGAAAGCATACATAATGTGTTTAGAATGAATTATTCAAATTTTTAATTTAACTGGAAGGGAACTTAATAAAGTCGTAGCTTCAATGGTTTACCTTGGTAGGAGTCTAGACTTTGATGGCAATCAATATTCATGTACGAATTCTTGCATTTGACACACTTATTTTACCACCAATTGAAGATCCCTCAAACTCATTTACAAAAAAATACCATTTTCAAACAAACCGCTAATTAATCGTTTTTTTATTTAAATGGCAAGAACTTGATAATTATAAGCGACGGATACATATTTGTAATGAGGTTTCACACTACATTAATTTAATTATATGTATGTAGTGATCAGCAAATGATCACTTGTTTTTTTTAAGAAAAATTTCAAAAAACCACACAGCGTGACACGCGATTAAATTTGCAAATGTATTCTTCATATTTACATTATTACATTTTTATTGTTTCGCTTGTATTACTTGTGTAAATAGCATTTTTCGTTATGTTTCACAGTTAGTTTAAATAAAAATGTCTTATCAAGTCTTGTTTCAGTTATGAAATTAACATATCTGTTGTGAATTTTTAATTTTGAAGCGCAAACAATGGGAATAACATCACATCAGTTTTAATTTATTTTTACATTTATCATCCGATGGAACGTTTGCATTAAATATGTAAAAAGTTTTTTTATTTGTGTGAATTTGAATTTTCCCATTTCGGGAAAAATAAATTGCAATAATTTTCAGTGGCATTGACACGTGCCAGATATTCGGCATTGCTAATATTAATGAGCGCTTAAAACCGCATATAATTATCTAAATTTTGCGAATTTCGGAGACAAGATTTAGTGTCTCATAGAAAAGCAATAAAAAGCAAGCTTTGTGGCCCTTTTTCCCGTCCTCGGCATTAAATATAATTCAGCAGATGGTTGAACCCTCCGTTAGTAACGCCGAATTTCACCCATCAAAATAAATATTAAATCGTTATAAATCACACTGTATACGAGGGGGCCCATGATCGATTGTTTTTGGGCATATTTCGTGGATTTGATTGTTCTGGGTGAGTCGTTGGGTCACCATCACATGTGCGACGGTAAAAAGCGTCCCCGAAGAATTAATCAAGAACAAGTTTGGAAAACTGCTCGCGATCATAAATATTGAATGCAATGTGGAACGTTTTTATATTTTAATTAATGGTAACAAGGACGTTTTATAACAAAATGATAATTAATTTTAAAACTGTCTACGTGACATGGTATTAGTGATGACTCGGCTGTAACCCAGTGGTAACTTTGTTGTTACATTAATTGCTACCGTTTTTCTTGCATTTAATTAATCTAAAATGAAAATGAACTCGCTTTACAGTTGGCTTTAATTAGGGATTTTTTTCCGTTGCCAAACATGGACGTGGAAAAAATTCATCGAAAATTGTGTTATTTACTACTTAAAACGGTTGCAATCAGTGTTACAACTAACCAAACTAATAGCCGATAATTAATGCTACATTTATTACACGGATTTATATTTATTGACTTACTTATAAATCATTATAATCCGCAAATTTATTAGTAGCTTGATTGGATTTGAAGCACGCACGCACATTAATATTAATTCTCCTTTTTCTACACCATGTCAATAAAAAACTATTTGTTCAGTGTTGTTGTCTCAAGACAAATAAATTTAAATAAAAGCGACAAGCGTGAGGTAAACACCACTTTACATCCATGTTTAGTATCTAACCACGTACTAAAAATCATTGAATAAAATTACCACTAGCTCACGTCTTAACTAATTCAAAATCAAACAAATTAATTTTTCGGTCAAATTATGCGTTTTCCCGCTTTCGTACTAAGAACAATATATCAACGTGAGCTTATCGGCATTTTGATCACAGGAAATGCTTTTTAAACGCCCTGCTTACAATAATACTTGACGTGTAACCTAACTCGCCACAGCTGTATTTCTTTAATTCCCTTCTGTTCTAATTAATCAAAATTTTGCAAATTTCGAACCGCTCTTGTAGGCGTTTAGTGGAAAGAATTAAAAGGCGTTTTCCATCTGACTCATCAACTTCTATTAACGAAACCACCTACTCTTTCCAGTTGAGATAAACACTTGCCAACGATACGGTTGATACGGTTTTTTCTCACAAGTGTTTACAGGCGCAAGTCTTTGTTAACCTAATTATCACTAGTTAAAAAATATCAACAAAGTAATTTTGATTTTAATTGCAAGGAGTTGGCAGTTTTTCTTAACACCTTCATTTGCACCAAATTATCAAAAAACAAACTAAAACAAAAGCTCGACTATCAAGGAAATTTTTGTACCTCAAAATTGCTGGTTTTGTTCAAATTTGCACACAAAATTGCAATTGATAAAATTTACATTTACATAAAACTGCATTTTGATGAGATAGAATTTTAATCAGTTATAAAATTTGTTTAATGATATACAGGGTGAGTCACAAAGAATATTTTTTAGCTTTATATCAAAAATTATATCTACACAAAGATTAGCGTTTGTATCTATTTTTTTCTACTAGACCACTTCTTTTTATTACACATCAAATTAACGAAATCGAGAGAAGTCATTTAGTGAAACTTTCAACATATCTACAAGGTGCGCCAGAACTCGTGCCTCAGAGAAAAATGTAAGGTAAGATACCAGGAACATGGAAAAAATGTTTAAAAAAATCTATCTATAAAAATTTCGAAGTCGCACTTTGACTCTAGTTATTTCTATTAGAACAATATTTTTTCAAGTTTTTTGCTACAGGTTATTAGAAAAAGAAACAAAGAAGCTGTATCCTAAATTGTAACTTTGTTTAATGCTGTTTGTGGCTTTCATTGGAAAAATTTTTGTATCTTTACCAATTAATTATAAAAAAGCATATACCTATACAAGATTATCAGTATCATTTAATAGTATCATTTAATATCAGTATCATTTAATAATCAGTATCATTAAATAGATATAGAACATGTCAAATGTCAATAAATAAATGTCAAAATTTTTTGACAGATAGAATTTTTAAAACATTTTTTCCATGTTCCTGGTATCTTATCTTACTTGAAATTTTTCTATGGGGCGCGAGTTTTGACACACCCTGTATGTTGTAAAATCTATATTTTAAGACTTCTTGTAGATACGAAACTTAAAAAAACTTCAATTGCATGGGTATACCTTTTTAGACCTTTTTGTTTAAATTAAAAACTAGATATGCTGTATTTCTTCTTTCTTTGTAAAGTTTAATTTTTCTTACATTTTTCAATAGAGTAAATTAAATAAAAAATACGGTAACTTTAATTGTTAGATTTTGGTTTTGTCATTGATTAGACAATGACAGTTTAAATTCGTAATAGACGTATTATTGTAGTTGGTGGTATTTGCGTGAAATTTGTCGTTTGAGGGAATCCCCCGGCGGTTAGTTGTAGAGATTTCGAAGTTTGCAAGGAAGAGTCGTCCCGATGCAAATTTATGTAAAGCTGAGTAGTTGTGTTAATTTGGTGTGGTCCGGGTCGACTTAAGTGCGTTGGTATTAAGGTCATTGTTAGGTGTAATTAGTAGTAGCGTAGTAGTAGGTGGCGTTGTGGGGTTATGCGCAGACACCCCGTGAGAAGAGAAAATGTTGTACCTGAGTATTCGGCGATGCTCGGAAGCCAAACTGGGACATGGTGTGTGTCCCAGTCGCTGCTGCACTCACTGAGTCGTCGCCAAAGGAAGCATGGCTTCCTGCACACCCGCACTAGCACACTGCAATAATATAAATAGGTAATAATAGTGTTGGAGGTCCTCCTCACACGTATGTCGTCGTCCACATCGCCACGTGTCCGCGTCGCGAAAAATTCGGTAGCGGCGCTACCGTAACGTCGGTGCACCAGGTGATAATTGCGGTCGGCTTGGTCTTCTTTCAGTCGGATTTTTGCGAGTCTGCCCAGTGGGTGGAGCGGAGTGGGGCAGTGGGAGGGGGCTGCGGTCGGCGTCTCCGACGAGTCCTGTTTTTGCCACCGACAGAACGCGACTACTGATGTCACGGAATTCTTTTAACGGCGACAAATTGTCGCGATCACACAACACAAGCGCAGTAGTCGCGGCGATCCGTTAAAAATTGTCGCGAGTGGGGACTGAACGCTCTTTCTGAGATACATTTTTGTGGCCTCCCCTCGGCGACCGATTCATCCACCACCACTAAAAATCGCGCCCTACTTCTTTTTCTGTCCCCTCCTGTGGCGCATTTTTCCCCTCTGGAGGGCGAGCCGCCGGCGGATTGAAGAGCAACAAGCTCCGCCTTCTCGTCTCGCCCAATCCCAACGACCGCGTGATGAATCGACCGCGTGCAAAGCACACACAAACCGTCGTGGTGTGTTTGCACCTACAGACAACGCCGGACCGCCGCCGAAAACGACGATGCCGCCGCCACCGCCACCAAAGACATACGTCAACTTGTTCACAACATTCACATACACTTGTTTTCTTACACTTTACACACACTTAAATTCTAACATTACAATTTTAAATAAAAAGTGATACCTTTCCCCCCGACTTACCCTAATTATCTACACTTGTTTCAAACTGATGTTGCAGCAGCGAACTCTGAACTGCTTGAAAACTAATTAACTCACCAAGTGATTTCTTAAGTATGTAACTCATTTATAATAAAATAATAGTTAAATATTTTTTATGTTATATTGATTCAGAATTTTTTATTAAAATAAATTCCTCATGTAAAATTTTTATTAATATTATACACTTTAACAATTTTTGCAAATACATTAAAGTCATTCATCACTAATTTTAAAATACAGGGCTGTTCAAAGAGTCGCGTACCAACTCTATGAAAGGTGATGATTAAAAAAATGTTTACCCTACAAGATGATTTTAATAGTTGTACAGAAATTTTAAGAGGTGATAGTACTTTGAGGTTTGAAGAAGTCAAAATAATTGGTTTATACAAATGTTTATAATTTTCAGAACTTGCGTCTCAGATAAAAATTTAATGTAGGTAAAATGGAAATCACAAAAAATTTTATCTGTCAAAATATTTTAACATTAAGTTTTTGTCATTCGACTTTTTTCATGTCTGTTTAATGTTATTGATGGTCTTGTTTAGATCTTTTTATAATTACCCAGTAAAGTACAAAAATTTTGCCAATAAAAACCACAAATAACAGTAAACATAGTTACAATTCAGAATACAGCTTTTTTGTTTCCTCTTCTAATACAGGTAAAATACGTTCACAGAAAAACATGTAAAATTTGAAATTTTTATAGATAGAACTTTTTTAACATTTTTTCCATGTTATCTCACTTGGCAATCAATATTCTTTAGAGCATGAGATTCACTCTGTTTAGAGTGCAACCTCCAATTTAACGTCAGAAAATTTGTCAAAAAATTCAATATAAACTAAATTTGCATCTTTTTAGTACCTACTATATTTCAAACTTTACAATGCTAATAGCCATTAATATTGAGGTTGTACCTAATGCTCCTTTTAGCTCGTTTTTTTTAACATTGTAATCACTTTTTAATCACAAAATAAATTTGTAGTTTCAAAATTTTTAAATACAACTTTTCAAGACTTTTCTTGTAATCAACATATGCTTAGTAATAAAGTTTTAGTGAGATAATTTTTTTTTATACTCCTAATAGATAATAAGAGAGCTGTCTTTTTACAAAAATTGAATGTCTCACAAAATGCAAAGTAATATTACCCACTATTTGGAATGTTGTTTAATAAACAATGTGTTTTCAGACAATAACCATTGTCTGAAATTATTTAAAAAATATTGTATTTTTATACAAAACGAAAATTAACCAGCTTTCTACAAATTTTTACATTTGAATATGTATTTGTATATCATTTTTGTTATAATTATTGCTTATTATTAAAACTTTTCAGCTAAAAGGTATTCCAACTTTTATTTAGAATAAAAAGAAAATCCAAATGAATGTTATTAGCAATCTTTAATGTACCTAATTATGCATCATCCATATTAACAAAGATTTTCTTATTCCTGATTATCTATAAATTATGATAATTATTTTACTACTGCAAATTTAAATCTCATTTTGTCTAAATTATTTTTTTTATTTATCTTACATATTATTTAGAAAATATATTCGTTTTTGTACAAGATATCAGAATTTATTTTTAGAAAAAAAATGTTTAATTGCATGTAACAATTTGTGGTTAAACTACTCCTAACACTATACTAAATATAGGTAAGTATACAAAAAAAGTACATTAACCACACAATTTCTAACCACTAAATATAACATCTACCTTCTGATATTACCTTGATTTATGCAATAACTTAATATTTTATTAAATCTAATGTTTTAAATTTTTAACTTTTCACCGAAATTTGATATAGTATTGAAAATAGTGAAATAATTGAGTTTTTGAATTATGTTTTTTTGCTGAATTTTATACGAATCGTAGTTGAGTGTATTATAATGAAAAACATTGTTTGAAGTACTTACATGTTTTATTAATGTTTCTTTGCATTTTGAAAATAAATTCTATTTATGTTTCTTGAAATATTTTATAAACAGAACCGATTTTTCAACTAAAATCAAAAATGCATTCATATTTTCAGTAGACGTTTTTGAACTTTTTGTATAGACATTTCAATCTTTACTCATTGTGCTCAATTTCATTTTTTTTTTTTCTATAGGAGTAAAACATCTGCCAAGTCATGCATTTGTTTATCTTCGTTGCGATGAATGTTTATCCTTGCAGCAAGTGCAGCACGGCTGAATGAGCGCTCTTGTTGCGTTAATTAAAAACAATATCAAGACATTCTCCGTAATGGAGTCAAACCGTTTGTACAGCAGCGTCGGCATCTCTCTTTTATCGAACGAAATAAACAAACACAAGAATAATCTCTGAAACGGTTTCACCGTACGTGAGAAACACAGATTAAGACTCTTTGCATTAATAAATAAGTTGCGTCGATATCCGCCGCGATAGCAGCAGCACCGTACAAGATTGGAGGAGGAGGGGGCAAAGTGCCCAGAATGGGGGTACACTTTTTGTTCTCAGCTAGTTAGCAGAACCGCCGCTTAGCGTCGTACGCTAGAACAAGTCGACACGCTCTCGAACTTGATAGAACAATGTCAGATGTGCGATCTACTTCATGCTCAAGTTTTAACATTAATCTTTGGAAGATTGATGAGCTCGAGCTGAAAACGAATTTTCGCTTGACATTAACAGGATACGAGGCGACGCTGAGACGAAAATAGGAGCGTTTATGATTTGTAAAGTAGGCAACCAAAAAAACGATGGAACACGTGGATGAGCGCACGTGGATCCTTACTACGCAAACTGCTTGATTTCATTTCTTATTCGATTATTCAATAAACAGCTAATTACAGTCCATTTTAATACAAAAACATTATTTATAAATGTAACATTGGTGGGTTTACAAGTACACTTTTTCCAGATTCTTGTTTTACACTTTCCGTAAAATTAATTTTCTGTTAAGTACACAGAGTGGTAGCTGTTGAATTTCCATGGCCAAATCTTATAAAGTTTATCAACAAAATACTAGGCTATAAAAATGATAAAAAATCAATAAAACCTTTGAATTTAGGTATTTTATTTATTAATTTTTCTCATTATTGAAAAAAAACCAAAAAACTCTGAAACAGATTAACAATATTTACGAGCGATTAGGCCCTAGAGAGCTATTGTAAAAATGATAAACGAACTAGAAAGCATTTTCGCTGATTGTCTTCTCAAATGTTTGTTTTTTAAAAAGAAGTTAGAAATGAAATATTGTCGCAACAATATCGACAAGCGATTCAGCAGATGTGAATGTGAGACGAAAAGTGCGTATCGATTTTGACTAGTGACACTGATATTTACATCCAACAATCCTAAAACCCTTTTGTGTTGAGTGTAAACACGAAAGAAACTTTTGAAACTTATTTTTCGTTACTCGATTTATGTTTTTTAGTTTGAAAACTCAAAACACATGATTTTTAGTGTAGATAAATCACAGCCTACAAATAAGCTCTTTTTTTCTGATATCAAATTACAATTTTATAAACAAAGTAAATGGATTAGCTGCTTCTTTACAATACAAGTAATAATACAAAATGGCTCAATTTATAAAACATTAAACAATCAAGAGTAAAACCGTTGTTATTGTTTTCCAAAAAAAATAAAACGTTCATAATTAAATAATAATTTGGAAAAATTATCAAACTCATGATTTTATTTAGAAATATATTTAGAGATTTATTTGGAAAATTTGAAAATAAGATTTAAAAAAGTACCTTCTTTGGTTTGATTTCCCTGTTGGGTAGTACCATCCTCGTCAAATTGTCTCATATTAATTCTCAAGAACTATAACAATTTTACTCGGAACAAAGCACTTGCGTCCACATGAATGTAAAACAATAAACTGCTTCGTTATAATCAACCATGCAGGTACTTAATCATGCGATAATAAGTGCTAATAACCTTATAGGTTACCGCTACTATGTATATCATTACTGTTTCAATTTTCAGTGTGTCAACTAATATGAAATATTAATACCCATTGTAGTTTACATTGCATTTCAATGTAAACAAATGGAAAGTTTGTAAAATGCAAAAGAAATCATTGTTTAGTTATTTTTATTGTGTCAATTAAAATTTAACAGTGTGTCACTTAGTAACCTGTATTAATTTGGAATAAATTAAATGTGATTATCTTTTATCATAAAAGTTTTAAATGTAAACAATATGTGACTGGATCTCGGTTGTTTCACTCATGTTTCGTTGATTACTAAATAAGGTAACCCGCTCTCTAATGATACTGTTCCAAACACTGTAACGAAGTACACGCTCTGTAAATAATGGACAGCTCACGATTTAAAGTTAGGATTCCAGGTTAAATGTAAAAGGGAATCAAGAGAATCTAAACATGGTACAAGTTCAGCATGGGACGTCTATTTTTTTTAAACATAACTAAAGTGTAGTGGAGTCGGATCTGGACCAATGAGAGTGGAGTCGAGGGCAATGGGAGGCCTCTTCTCATTAGGATGCACTTTCTGTAAACGCCT